ATTACACTGCTTGAACGTTTTTGCATAAGCAAGTATTATGTTTATAATAATGAAACTATTTTTAAAACTAGCAGAATAGGGCCCCAAGGAGAGAGAGCGTCAGGGATAATGGAGAGGGGAAGGGAGGGAGGAAAGGCAGACAAGAAGAAAGGTGTGGGGAGAGAAACAGAGACTGAGACTACAGGGAGAGTTAACAGCAGTGTGGGTTCTTCAGCCTGGAGAAGAGAAGGCTAAAGGCTAGTGGGCTGGGTGGGGGCAGTTATGAGGACTGACTAGTTAACCAGGTATATTCACTGGACAAATATTTATGGAGTGCTTGCTCGGTACCAGGCACTGCGCCCACTCGGTACCAGGCGCTGGGCCTGCCAGGTGCCAGGGGCTGCACTTGCTCTCGGTACCAGGCGCTGTGCCCGCTCGATACCAGGCGCTGTAGCAGGCGCTGCACCCACTTGGTGCCAGGCGCTGCGCCCGCTCGGTACCAGGGGCTGTGCCCGCTCGGTACCAGGCGCCGTGCCCGCTCGGTACTAGGGGCCGTGCCCGCTCGGTACCAGGGGCCGTGCCCGCTCGGTACCAGGCGCCGTGCTCGCCCGTACCAGGGGCCGTGCCCGCTCGGTACCAGGGGCCGTGCCCGTTCGGTACCAGGGGCTGCGCCCGTTCGGTACCAGGGGCTGCACTAGTTCATGACAGGACCCAAGAACGCGCTTCTCTTCCCTACCCTTTGCTCCATCATTACTGGGACGGGGACATTTCTGCCCAGTTGCCTCCAGATTCCAGACTTGATGGAGTGTGTGACAGTGTCTTCCCATAGGCTCCTCCACTGGAGCCCTGTGGGGAGAGGGGTACTCTTGGGAGGGGGGCTTGGCTTATTACCTCAGCAGCTACAGGGGTTGAGCCAGCAAACCTGGCTCCTGCCAGGGGCAGGCTCCTGCTGTTTGCTTTCCAGCAAGCCTGCTCTTTGCTCTCTCATCCCCCCTCCTGTTTGGCCCTCTGGCCCCTGCTGGCTGGGTCACTGCCCCCTGGCATCATCGCTCTGAAGCCGGCAACCCTGCTGGGCCATTCACAGGCACAGCATAGTGGGGTGGGGGGCAGATGTTATCCCCCCCCCGCCACAAACATATGCTCACTGTGTATCAGTGCCCTGGGAAGGGGTCCAGGCACAGAGTGATTGGAGGCTGCAGGCTCTGGGGGGATGTAAATGGACTGGGAGGTGTGTGTGTGTTGGGGAGAGGCAGTATCGGTAATCAGTGTGAGATGGGGGGTTGTCCTCAGACTGCTCTCCCGGGCAATTGCATGCCAGCAGCTTTGTCCTTTGCCAGTTGGCATGCAGGCTTCGGACCACCGAGGCGTCTTCCCAAACGCACGCCCCAGCTTAAAAAAACTCACCCACTGCTGTCGAGTTCTTTTTGTTTTTTAATTTTATTGTTGTACTTTAAGTGAATGTTTACGATTCAAGTTAGTCTCTTATACAAAAATATATACATACATTGTTATATGACCCTAGTTGCTCTCCCTATACTGTGACAGCACACTCCTCCTTTCCACCCTGGATCTTCTGTGTCCATTCAACCAGCTCCTGACCCTCTCTGCCTTCTCATCTCACTTCCGGACGAGAGCTGCTCCTTTAGTCTCATGTATCTACTTGAGCTAAGAAGCACACTCTTCACAATTATCATTTTATGTCCCATAGCCCAGTTCAATCTTTGACTGAAGAGTTGGCCTTGGGAATGGTTTTAGTGCTGGGTTGACAGAGAGTGTGGGAACCATGCTTTCTGGGGTTCCTCCAGCGTCGAGTGGATTCTGATTAGAACTGCCCCATGGGGTTTCCAAGACTGTAATCTTTACTGAAGCAGACTGCCACATCTTTTTCTCAAGCTGGTGGGTTTGAACTGCCAACATTTTGCTTAGCAGCCTATTGCTTAACCACTGCCCACCGGTGCTCCCCCAACCCCAGCTAGGTCACTGAAAATTCCCAGCCACCTTCTCTGGCCTAAGTGCTGGCACTAAGCCAAGGAAGTTGGCCCTGGGGTAACTATTCTCTCTCTCTCCACACACACCCCACACACACATCACAGACACCCATCACACACACCACACACACACATACACACACACCAAACACTCACCACACACACATACACACACCACACACCACACACACACACCAGTGTTGGGGCTGGAGAGTTCCTGTAGAGATTTCTGATTCCCATGACACTAGTCTGGTGTAACACCGCTGCCTTTCCCGTTATACATCTATTTCCCATTTTCCATACTCCTCTGCAAATCTCCCTCTTCCAGCATCCCTCTCCCCAACCACCCTTGGGCTCCCAGATTCATTTCTCTGGCTCCACCTGAATTAGTCCCGAAACATACACACAGAGCGAGGAGACAAGTAGGAGGCAAAACCCTTCCAGAACCGCCCACGGCAACATCCCAGAGAGGAGCTGGACTTGAAAAAGGCTGCCCATCTGAGCGGGGTGAAGAAGGGAAGGGACAGGAGGGCCTCGACTGGCCCTCCTCCTCCCCGCTCTGCCAGGCCAGGGCTCCGGAACACTCGGAAATATTCACTCCCTGTCCTCGCCTTTTTTTGTTTTTTTTTGGCGTTGGGTCGGAGACGGTTTAAAGGAGATTTTAAGAGACACAGAGAAGTACAAAGACTGAAAGAAACGAGAGAAAGGAGATGAAGAAGGAACGGAAAGGGGGAAAGCGTGCTGAGAGTGGGTGCGCTGCAGAAGGGGAACGGGAGATTCCACCAGGGAGAGTCCTGGAAACGGGGGAGCGGCCCCGCTGTTTGTCCGGCCTCCAGACCCAGGATGGCGGGGATTAGGAAGCAGCTCTGCCAAGGGCTGAGCTGCCGCCTCGGCTCTGGGAACCCAGAGCAAATACACCCTGATCCCCACATAAAGGGCCAATTAACTGCGCTGTCTCCGGGAACAAATCCGATAACAGGGTGACAAGCCCCTAGACGCCGGCGGGTCCTGTGTTTGCTGAGAGGCCGACCGGGAGCAAATCAGGGGATTAGGACCGATCCACATGGTGGGCTGCGGCTTCCTGTCTGCTGCAGCCCGCCTCGCCCCAGAGCAGGGCCGGGTAACAGGTCCCGGGATGTCTGTCTTGGTGAGGCTCTGGTGTGACGGCAGCCGGGTGACCACGGTCAGCAGGGGGCAGAGCAGAAGTCTCTGGGGCCTGGAATCTGGAGGGTCAGAGCAGATCAAATAGTCCATTTCCTCGTTCACAGATGGGGAAAATGAGGTTAGAGCGGTGGCATCTTGTAATTGGCAAATATAGGAGGGGACCCACTTCTGGGTTCCTGAGGGGCTAGACTTCTTGTGGGGGGGTGTACCCTTTCCATCTCTTACCTGAGTGCAGCCTGGCCCTGGAACAAGGGACAGACGTCAAATCCTATCTCTGATGCCTTCGTACTTGAGAAAGAATGTATCGCTAGCCCCTCTCCTACTCCAGCCGGTCCCTGCCTCAGGATGTGCTCTGATTTAAGACATCTGTGGGTGCCAGGCCCCTAGGCCAGCACCGGGAGCCAGGTGCTGAACGAACAGCGCCGGGCTCTGCCTCCCACCAGGCCTCATCCGCCCACCTTGTGCTTCTGACCTTCCAAAGCCCCATCCAGAGCTGAGGCAAAGGGGTAGGAAGACACCTAAACACCCTACAGTTGGAGGCTCCACGGCGAGCTGTGTGGGTTGCCTTGAGGGAGAAGCCTTGGGAGAGGCTCCTCACCCCCACAGCGTCCCTGGCTCACTTGAGCGCTCTCTCTGCCTGAAATACTTCAATTCTTGACTCTACTTACTCCTGGCTCTTGACTGCTTATGCTGGGTTTACACGGCTTTGTAGCACCCACTTCTCTGGATCTCCACCTGTTCGTGACTCTCCCTCCTTCAGAAACAGCTACCCCACGAAGGTTGTTTCATTACATAGAACCCAATGGCTGAGCCAGCATCCTGCCGCTCACCATCAGCAAGAAAGGGCCCTGGGTCCTTACCCCAGATGGGAAGGCGGGAGTCTCTCTATTTTTCTGCCACCCCAGTGCCATCTCCGGTTTAGGAGTATGTGTGTTGGGGGGGGGGTGGTGAGGGACTGGAACATCTTTAAGTAGAAAGAGCCTCAGAAAAGTCAGAAGCAGGCTAGGGCTGGGAATCGTGAGTTTTTATTTTATTTTATTTCATCTGATTCAAAAACAGATTTGCAGGAGTTTTACATCAATCTTGTCTCTTCTCTTGCGCTTGCATTTACAGAAACAATATTGCCCTCTTTGTCTTTCTCCGGGATTCCCTGGTTTCCCTCCAGTCTCCTTAAAAATGTAAAACAATTTAATAAAACATGTAGATGCCGAGTAACGCGAAAGGTATGCAAATAAATGCGAGAGGTATGCAAATAGATGCGAGTTGCCTGGATTTCCCTAGGCTCCCCCGGCCCCCCCCCCGCCCCCCGCCAGTTCTAGCCCGGATCTGAGTTTCCGGCAGGAAATGCTAGGTCAGGGCTTCTGGAGCAGGACTCCCAGGTCGGGACGCACCACCCCATGCCCTGGACTCGGGGCTGCAGCCCCCCCGCGGGCTCCTTCACTCCCGCTGCTAAGCGCCGGAACTTGGGAGGGAACCGAAGCCAGAGCACCTGGCTCACCTTTGACAGCGTGTTTGTACTCTGCCTCAGTTTCCCTAAGGGCCGGGGAAAGAGAGAAGGCATTCCTGTCCGAAAGTCGGGTAGAAGGTAGAGACCCACAGAGCCTTCTCCATCACTCATCTTGGGTGCTTTGAGAAAGGAAAGGAAACTCTCCCTCAGCGTCTAGAAGGGGACGCGGGGCGCAGGGCGGGGTCTCCAACTCACGCTCCACGTCTCTGGTCTCCTGTCCTGCGAGTGGCCGTCGGGGGTGGAGGTGGGAGGGCGGAGGGAAGCGGATTAGTCCCTTAATTACGCCGTGATCGGCGTAGCACCTGCTTTCAGCCCGCCCAGCTCCCAGGGGAGCCGGCGGGGGGCGGGGGGTCGGTGGAGAGAAGGACGAGTGGCGACGGAGGGCACGCGGAAGCTCCGACCGTCCCGGGCGCGCCGGCAGGACAGCGGCACCGTGGCTGCGGCGGCGCGCAGAGGCGGTGGAGGGCCGTCTGGCTCCCGGCCCGCGGGGCTCGGACCCAGGGCCGGGGCCCGGAGCCCCCAGCCTCGAGCCCGGCCGGCTGGCGCCATGCTGCGCTACCTGCTCAAAACGCTGCTGCAGATGAACTTGTTCGCGGAGTCCCTGGCCGGGGACATTTCCAACTCCAGCGAAGTGCTCCTGGGCTTCAACTCCTCTCTGGCGGCGCTCAACCACAGCCTGCTGCCGCCCGACGACCCCTCTCTCAACGGTGAGTCCCCGCCGCTTGGGGACGTCGGGTTCGGGGGCGGGTGGGGTGAGAGGCAGCAAGGCTGGAGGGGGAGCAGAAAGCGCCTCTGCCCCGAGGTCCAGGACGGAACGGCAGTCCTTGCGCTCCCCGGGTGGCGGTTTGGGGTTTCCGCCCCTGGGGGCTTCGGTTTGGGGTGCAGCACCGGCGGGAGGTGGAGGGCTTAGGAGGAGACCGCTGCTTAGTCAGGCTGTCCCGCCTCCCCAGCCCCCCGCGCCCATCCCCGTGAGGAGAGCCAGGGCTGGTGACCCGCAGTCCCTAGCTCCCTGGGCCTGGGCTTCGGCCGGGGGCCCAGGAGGGGCGCTGTGGCCGGCGGACCTGAGCCCAGTCGGGCCACTCAGTGACCCAGCCAAGGAGCAGGTCTCCTTCGGGACCCCAAGGTTTCCTGGAACGAGGGCGAGGAAGCCAAAATGTTAGGTGTGCTTGCTACCGAGGGGGACGGGCGGGCATGCCAGGGAAACAGAAGTTTACGGGGAACCCCCAGGCCTGCCCACCCCGGCAGGGCTGTGGCGCGTGGGCAGTGCCGGCGGCGAGCTCGTTACCGCTAATTAGAGTGATTAATAAATGACTGGGACGGTCGCTGTCCCCGAGCGCAGCGGGGAGGCGCCGAGAGCAGTTGGCTTCCAGCCTGGGGAGAGGCCCGATCGCGCCCCCTATGGGCCGCATCGGGAAGCCCCTCTCTCCGGGACGCCTTTCTCCGCGGTGCCTTCGGGTGATCCTCCCGCCATCCCTCCGCCCTCCACCTGGACTCGTAGGTGGCGAGAAAGGAGACCCGGACAGACTGCGTGTGTGTTTGTTTGGGGGGAGATACTCCAGGTGCCGGAGGAGGAGCTCCAGGGCCTCATTAGCATGGACATTAGCTATTCATTAGGTTCATGTCAAAGTATCTCCTGAGACCGGGAATGACAGGGGAAAAATTCCAGGATGAGGCGCCTGCAGATGCTGTCTGTCGGAATTAGGGAGAGGGGACAGACCAGAAGGGTGTGGCATGTATGCAGCGACTGGGGAGAAGAGGATGGGGGAATGAGACGGATTCTTCCGTCTCTCGGGAACCCCTACATCCCCAGGAGACGCAGCACAGCCTTTCTCGCCGACCGCTCAGATAATCGCGCCTCTACTTACCCAGCGCCTCTGCGGAGTGTTTCCACCATGCATTGTCTCCTTTAAGCTTGGAAATGGAGTGAGGTATATAGGTAAGGTACTGATAGCCACATTTCACAGCCGAGGAAACAAATTCAGAGAGTGAATGATACCCCGACGGGCATAAAACCAGCATGAAGGAAAACTTCGGCAATAACAGACCTAAGTCTATTCCCATTACACCCGAGGGTTCTGTGAGAGGGGAACAAAAAGGAATACCGGGACCTGGTAGAATCTGATTCAGGTGAGAGTGTAGGAGCCTGGATGAGTTAAGGTGAGCTGGGGAGGGAGAACCCTTAAACAGTGATAGAGTAGCCATAATTTATGTATTCTTACCCCCAAGGAGCCCTGGTTGTGCCATGGTTAAAGCACTAGGAGGGTCGGCGGTTCGAACCCACCAGCCTCTCCAGGGGGGAAAGATGTGACAGTCCGCTTCCATAAAGATTTCAGCCTTGGAAAACCTATGGGGCAGTTCTACTGTGTCCTACAGGGTAACTATGAGTCAGAATCGACTGGACGGCAATGGTTTTATGAGTGGTTTTTTACCCTATGGAGCAGAGTTCTCCTTTGACACACATGGGATCGCCATGAGTTGAAGTCTACTTGTGGCAATTGGTTATTAACTTTTTTACCCAGTGCTTCATGTGTATATGACCTTATGACAGCCCTATTAATTCTCCCATATTACAGGTCGAGAAACTTAGACTCAGAGAGGTTAAATAATTTGCCCAAGTTCTTACAGCTGGCAAGTGTGAAAGTCTGAGGTTACAGTTCTGGCAGATTCGACACCCACGCCTAAGTTCTTAACCACTCCGGTGTCGCCCACCACGGGGTCTGCCTAAACTGGAACAAATGTGATGGAAGAGACAATAGGAGTGAAGGGCAGAGATTTCCATTTGGAAGGAGGTAGATGGAGAAAATCACTCCCTTCTCCAAGTAGAGGGAAACCCGGCATCCTGACCTCAACCAGTCACACTCTCCTCAAAACGGCGCCAGCGCAGGGCAACCCGTCCAGCTTGGTCTCCAGCAGAATTTCTAAAAGGAGGGGCGGGAAATAAATACAATCCCACACCGAGGCTGGAGGCAAGAGTTCCCTGCGGGTTTTGGAGCTGGGTGAGGGGGCGGGAGGAGGCGCAGAACACAAGCGCCGAGGTGTCCCTGGACACCCGATTACGCGAGGCGGCAGCGGCGCCTACTGGCCGCCACCGGTTACAAATCCACTTGCGATGGCGGGACTGAGAGCTGGGAGTGTCTGAGTATACCCGACTCCGGGGTCCTGATGCTTAAACTGTGCGACAGAAGACCAAGTGGGCAGGAGTCTGTAGTCCAAGTGTGACAGAGGGGCAGAATACGCAGGCGAACTGATTTGAGTGAACGAGGGACTTCCTCTTTCCCAGTGCTTCTTAACCTTTCTTGGGTGATCAACCTGTAGGATAAACTGCTAAGAACTATGCGCCTCTCAGGAAAAGGAACGTTACGCATATTCCGCTAGCATTTGCATCCAGTCACTCTGAGTTCACAGTCCCCGCCCCCCTCCACCCACGCGCATACCCGAAGCCCACTTATGGACTCCAGGTTAAGAACGACACGGGTGCCCCAGCCCGAGCACCCGGTCTTCCGTTCCATAACATCCCGCGCGCCTCAGACTGGTCCGCATTTCCCATTTCACCCTCCCGGGGAAGGTGCGCAGGCAAAGAACCGAGTGTTCGAACAGGTGCGCCCCTTGTGGTTGCTCACTGGGCAAGGACGCTGTGCGAACCAGCGAGTGGGAGCTGAAAACCCGACCGTTTGCAGGGCTCCCGCCGCGCGCTCTGACGCGGGATTGCGTTTGCCGGAAGAAAGCGGACGCCTCTTTTTTTTCTCCAATCAGAGGCTGGGTCTACCCACCAAGACGTGGCCCAGTCACTCCCCGCTTAAACTTGGCCAGAAAGGACGCAGGGGTCTTTAGGCGGCCCAGAAAGCCGGTCGTGGACTTTGTGTCTTGATTCCTCTTCTGATCTGCCTGTCTATAGGCATCTCCTTTCGAGCCTAAGAACGTGGGGTGTCCGCCAAGAAGGGCATACTGGGCCCACAGAGGGAGAGGGTTGGCAAGACAGCAGGCAGGACTGAGCTCTAGCAGATGAAGCATAGAAAGTACAACGACAAGAAGGTTCTCTTTCCTTCTGGAACCTCTATCCCTCCCTCAGTTTCCCAGTCTGAACGCTGTGCGCCACGCCCATCCCAGTCTCTCTAGGGTCAAGGGTCGGGCCAGAGGACGCGATGCCGCGCATCGTGGAGCAGCCGCCAGATTTGCTGGTCTCCAGAGGCGAGCCGGCCACGCTGCCCTGCCGCGCCGAGGGCCGGCCCCGGCCCAACATCGAGTGGTACAAGAATGGGGCGCGCGTGGCTACCGCACGCGAAGATCCGCGCGCGCACCGCCTGCTGCTGCCCAGTGGCGCCCTTTTCTTCCCGCGCATCGTGCACGGGCGCCGCGCGCGGCCCGACGAAGGTGTCTACACTTGCGTGGCGCGCAACTACCTGGGAGCAGCGGCTAGCAGAAACGCCTCGCTGGAAGTGGCAGGTGGGTGTCCTGGCTCCAGCTGGTTGCTGCAGAACCGAGGGGGGGCGGGGGCAGGCGAGAGGGCACCACAGGCAATCCGACTCAGAACAAGTCCCAATCTCAGCCCATTCAGCACCTTCTTTGGGGACTTGTGGTCTCTAATACCCACGCCATGGTCAGAGGAGGCGGTGGTTTTAGGAGAGAGTTCCAATCAGCAGGGATCCACCCCACCCAAGACAGTTTCCCTGTGTCCTCACCAAGTTATGTTACTCCTGTTGCTGTTAGGTGCCCTGCAGTCGTTTTCGACTCATGGCTACCGCATGTGACAGAGTAGAACTGCTCTATAGGGTTTTCTTGGCCGTAATTCTTAAGAAAGCAGATCGCCAGGTCTTTCTCCTGCAGAGCAGCTGGGTGGCCACCCTTTGGTCAGCAGGCCAGCGCTTAACCTTTTGCGCCACGGGAGCTCCCCTACACCGTTCTCTCCCGCTCCCTAGTCCTCCGCGATGATTTCCGGCAGTCTCCTGGGAACTTGGTGGTGGCAGTGGGAGAGCCAGCCGTACTGGAATGCGTGCCTCCCCGCGGCCACCCCGAGCCATCGGTGTCCTGGAAGAAGAACAGTGCAAGAATCCAGGAGGAGGAGGGAAGGATCACGGTGAGGGGCGGGGCCGTGGCTAACCCTTCTGGGGGTCCAGTTGATTGTGACTCATAGAGACACTATAGGACAGAGTACAACTGTTCCATAGGGTTTCCAAGTCTGAAAATCTCTGTGGAAGGCTAGGGATGGGGCAATGTCCCCAAGAACGAAGGCCAGAACCTAAGGATCTGGGAGGGGCTGAGGGTAATGTCTTGGAGGTGATAAGGCCAGGGGACTTGAGATAGGGCATCAGCTGACCAGCAGCTTAACAGTCAGCTATTGAGTGAGGGATCAGGATCGGCAGGGTGGAACTCGTATAAACTGGGTGGGGAGCATGATGTCCCGGTGACTGGTGGGAGGCCGTTTGGGCTGTGGGAAAAAAGATAGACTGGAGCCCCATCTTGAATGGATTCCGTATCGGATAAATGGGTCACCTCGACTAGTCTTCAATGGTTTCCTGTGAGGCTCAAATAATATATATCAAATGTTTCGACGGCTATAAAGAACCAAAGTTATCATAATTACTCTGCAGATCCGTGGAGGGAAGCTGATGATGTCACACACACTCAAGAGTGATGCAGGGATGTATGTGTGTGTGGCCTCCAACATGGCGGGAGAACGGGAGAGTGGGGCAGCCGAACTTGCGGTGCTGGGTAGGCGCGGGGAGTTTTTGGCGTTGTGGGAGTGGGTAGCCTAGGGAGTAAGTACCTGCATGGACACCCCCGCCCCGGCCCGACTGTTCACTCACTCCAACTTCCTAGAGCGCCCCTCCTTCCTGCGGAGACCAATGAATCAGGTGGTCCTGGCTGATGCCCCAGTGGATTTCCCATGTGAAGTGCAAGGGGATCCCCCTCCTCTGCTGCGCTGGCGCAAGGAGGACGGAGAACTCCCTCCGGGCAGGTGAGAAACCCCGCCTCCTGCCTGTAAGGACAGCCAAACAACTCTAGAGCCAACCCTCCGAGAAACTGGAATGCGGACACCCTCTCAGTTGAGAATCCACAGAAATCGGCTCCCAGAGTCTGTGCCCCGCCCCCGTCCTATCCAGTCCCCAAGTCTCTTCATTCACGGGCCCATGGGTACAAGTTTCTGTCCCTGTTGAGTCCTGTCTTGTCTTTGTGCGCCCTGACCCTGGTGTCTGTCCTGGGGGAGAGAGACGGGGTCTGCAGCCATGGCCAACTCAGCCTGGGGGTGGGGAGTGGAGCAGGTATGAGATCCGGAGTGACCACAGCCTTCGGATTGGGCGGGTGAGTGCTGAAGACCAGGGGACTTACACCTGCGTGGCGGAGAACAGCGTGGGCCGTGCTGAAGCCTCCGGCTCGCTCAGCGTTCACGGTGAGGGCCCACGGGGGACTGCCTGAGGCAGGGAGGACAGTAGGGAGGATGGAGGGGGGTGGCTGTGGAGGAAAATGGGGGGCCGGGGGAAGGACAGAGCCGGGAGATGCAAGGGTCGCCTGCGTCTTCTGGAAGGAGGGAAAGGGGGAAAAAGGGTAAACAGGCTTCTGCAAGAGACGGAGGTCTGCTCCGACTTAAGCCAAGCTTAAGAGTTTCTCTGTCCTCTTTCCCAGTCTCCCTGACTCCCTAACCCTTTATCTCCCCGTTCTTCCCAGTCCCGCCCCAGCTGGTGACCCAACCCCAGGACCAGATGGTGTCTCTAGGAGAGAGTGTGGCTTTCCAGTGCGAGACCAAAGGAAACCCCCCACCCGCCATCTTCTGGCAGAAGGAGGGGAGCCAGGTAGGTGGCCATCTCCAAGGCCCGTCTCTCCAACGTTTCCTCTGGGTCTTAGCTTCCCTCCCTCCCTCTACATTTCTTTCTGGGGCTTCTTTTTCCCCTTGAGTCGTTTGGGAGAATTAAATAAGACAATGAATATAAAGACTTGGAACATAGTGGGCACTTTCTTTATAAATGATAATACATTTAGGTGTAGGGAACAAATCCTACATGGTTCTTCCTTGGAGAATCTTTTATTTTGGGCAAAGCTGTCCTAAGGATGTAGCAAGTTCTATTAAATTCCCTCTCTCCCTGACCCCTTGGGCCTGGGCTTTTGGGTATAACATATCACCAAGTACTGTACCTAGAGCAGCTCAGGGTAGAAAATGACTTGCTATTCTACTTAACGGAAACCCTGGTGGCATAGCAATTAAGTGCCACAGCTGCTAACCAAAGGGTCGGCTGCTCAAATCCACCAGGCGCTCCTTGGAAACTCTATGGGGCAGTTCTACTCTGTCCCACAGGGTCACTATGAGTCGGAGTCGACTCCACGCAACGGGTTTGGTTTTGGAATTCTGCTTAACAGCTGACGAGGAATTCCACGAGGAGGAGTTCCACCCCTCTCACTCCTCCATCTTCACCTTGAGCAAACAAATCCCAGAACACACGACCAGAAGGAACAGTGACTGAAGTTGTGACATAAGTGACCTCCTCTAAGGGAAGGGTGGAATTTTTACTACTAGGAAACAGGGTCAATATACTAAGTATGGCTAACCCTCATCTCGCTCAGAAACCAGGCAAACCATCACCTCATTCCAAATCCACAGCCCCAATTTTCCTATGTCTCTAGCACCTGGAACGGCTGCATTTTAATGAGAGTTTCACATGAATAAAAGATGCTGATGGTGGTAGGGGCTGAGAGTAGGTATCAGTCAGGGGCTCGTCTTCCATGTAGCTAATGTAAATGTTAACGCCTGAGAGAAGGGAAAGGATCTCACATTTATCACACAGTGTCCTTGAAGACTTTCAGATGCTCACTTTGTTTAGCCCTCATAGCAAACCTCTAAGAGTCAGATTGGGGTAGACTGGAGCTCCGGAAGGTGAAATAGCTCGTTCAGAGTTTCCCGACCAGTAAGTCACAGAGCTGGGAACTGGAACCCAGAATCATCTAATCAAACCCCCTCATTTATGTGAATAGGTTTAACTGGCTTGTCCAAGGTCACACAGCTGGCTGGGGGCAGAGTATAACCTGGAACCTTAGGAATTCTCTGGATTTGGGGGTTGATGGGAGTGGGGAGCCCTCTCTTCCCAACTGCCAGCTCGTTTTCCACTTGGTTCCTTATCTCTGTCTCCAGGTTCTGCTTTTCCCCAGTCAGTCGCTTCAGCCCACGGGGCGCTTCTTGGTCTCCCCAGGGGGCCAGCTCAGCATCACTGAAGTGCAGAGTGGGGATGCTGGCTACTACGTGTGCCAGGCCATCAGTGTGGCTGGCAGCATCCTGGCCAAGGCCCTGTTGGAGATAAAGGAAGGTATGTGCCCATGGGGATGGGGCTGGACTCAGGGTCTAGAGGGTAACAGCAGCTTACAGAGACTTGTTTCTCCTGGATTTTATACTGTGTGTCTGCAAGAGGAGGGGTATGTTCCCAAGGCATGTCCTTGAAGCACAGCCACTAATAAATGGCTGGTCTCAGGCAGAGCCGACAGGTGGTTACGGAAGTCCCCTCTGATCTCTGGGGGATGAAGGAGCAGACAATGAGGACCAAGGGGCTGGCTGCCTCTACCAAGGATCCTTCCTGAGCTGCCCCAGTTCTTCTTCTCTCAGCATCCTTGGATGGACTGCCCCCCATCATCCTCCAGGGACCAGCCAATCAGACTCTGGCCCAAGGCTCATCTGTGTGGCTGCCATGCAGAGTGGCAGGGAACCCTCCACCTAGTGTCCGATGGAAGAAGGATGGGCAGTGGCTGCAGGGGGATGACCTCCAGCTCAGCCTAATGACCAATGGTACCCTGTACATTGCTAGCGTGCAGGTGAGGCTGTCCTCTGGGCCCTGAGAACTAAGAATGCCATCTGGTCCACATTCCCAACTCCAGTGAGCACCCCCTGGGACTCTCACCCCATTTCTACCCCTCTGTCTTCTCGGACCGCCCCCTTCTATCCTTCTGCCTTCTTTCAAGAAAGTACACAACATCCCCCTCATCCCTAAGTACACCTGCCTGCACCCCCAGTGCATTTGCCAGTGCTTTGCCCCCTTCTGCAGGAGATGAACACGGGTTTCTACAGCTGTGTGGCCAAGAGTTCCACAGGGGAGGCCACATGGAGTGGCTGGCTTAGGATGCAGGGTGAGTTTTTCCCCTTGTTTTGCCAGCATCTTTCTCCAAATCTGCTTCAAAGGCCGCCATTATCTTCCAAGACTCCAGGACTCCTTTTATCTTGCAGATGCCATTTTGTGGTGGTGGGGGTGAGGAAGACAGCAGTGGTCCCCTGGGAGGCAGGCAGGAGTAGGGGTTAGGATACCATGCTTCCCTTTCCACTGTCACCACTGCACCAGACCCGCAGCCTCTGGGAAGGAGGCAGGTTACATTGGGGCACCCTTCTCCCGTTCTTCTACTCAAAGATTCTCTCCTCACTGCAGAAGATTGGGGAGTGTCATCAGATCCCCCCATAGAATCCAGGACTCCTCCAGGGCCTCCCTCTCGGCCACTGGTCACTGAGATCACCAAGAACGGCATCACCCTGACCTGGAAGCCCAGCCCGCAGGCGGGGGCCACAGTTACCTCTTATGTGATAGAGGCCTTCAGGTACGGTGAAAGTTTGAATGCGAACCTAGGAAGCCTCAAGGGAGGGGACCCTATGTCCTCCAGGTCTTTGCTATTGTGGGGAGGAGTTCACCACTTCCCTCTCCAGGCATGAGGCGTAGTGGGGGATCAGAGAGAATGCATGAGCTGGAGTAGACAGCGTGGGGGTTCCTGGCTCAGACAACTCTGGCACCTCATTCCCACTGCAGCCGAGCAGCTGGCAACACGTGGCGGACAGTGGCAGATGGCGTGCAACTGGAGACTCACACAGTCAGCGGTCTGCAGCCCAATACCATCTACCTGTTCCTGGTTCGAGCTGTGGGGGCCTGGGGCCTCAGCGAGCCCAGCCCCGTCTCTGAGCCTGTCCGCACCCAGGGTGAGTAAGGTCAGAGTCCTCACACCCCCGCAAAACCATGGCACCACGGCAGCTGACAAATTTGTTTCTCACTCTGCCAGGCCTATACCCGTGGTCTGACCTGGAGTAGAGGGCCATGCTTCCCTCTCACAGAGGGGCAGGGGGCAGAGAGAGAGACTGACTCATCTTCGGTGGTCTCACTTCTGTGCCTTCTACAGCTTGCGAATGTGGAGAAATATTAAGACTAGAGACCACGGAGGGGCCACCTTCATGTTAGGGAACAGAGGCCTGGAAGGAATGCATACGTGGATATGCAGACAACACACTCATGTTAGCTGGACACCAGGCTGGCCTCTGAAAGCCAGTCTCCTGACCAACCACTTCCTGCCCTGGGGTACTGAGTAGTGCAGTCTGTGGGGCAGTGCAGAGTGGGACACGAAACACTCCCAGTCCTGTGTCTGTCCCTGCTGGCCCCTGCTGAGCGGGTTCTTCGGTCAACAGACAGCAGCCCCTCCCGGCCAGCGGAGGACCCATGGAGAGGCCAGCGGGGGCTGGCTGAGGTGGCTGTGCGGATGCAGGAGCCCGTCGTCCTCGGGCCCCGGACCCTGCAGGTGTCCTGGACTGTAAGTGTGACACAGGGATGAGGGTCGGGGCAGGGAGAATGATGTGGGGTATGAGAGGCTCTGAGTGGGTGCGGGAGAGTGGGAGGAGAGTGGCTGGAGAAAACAAGGTAAGTGGAAGAGGGGCTGGGCCTGGAGGACTTGTGTGCCCCCGCCTCCCTCCTGGTATGCTTTGTTCTGTCGGTCACAGATGGATGGCCCAGTTCAGCTGGTGCAAGGTTTCCGGGTGTCTTGGAGGACTGCAGGCCCTGATGGGGGAAGCTGGACGGCGCTAGACCTAGAGTCCCCAAACCAGCAAAGTGCTGTGCTCAGAGGGCTCCCCCCAGGGACCCAAATCCAGATCAAGGTGCAAGCCCAAGGCCAGGAGGGGCTGGGGGCCGAAAGCCCCTTTGTGACCAGGAGCACTCCTGACGAGGGTAAGGCGGGCCCCTGAGGTGAGAGATCGACAAGAGGGAAGAGGGAATCGGGAGGATGCAAGTGTCAGGGGGAGCACAGTGAGTGTGGGTGGGAAGGAGGGGGTGGAGGGGAGGGGCGTCAGGGGGCAGTTTGCCATGACTGTGTCCCTCTCACCACGCTCCACCCTGGCCCAGCCCCCAGTGGTCCCCCCCAGGGAGTGGCAGTGACCTTGGGGGGTGATGGCAACAGCAGTATCACTGTGTCCTGGGAACCTCCACTCTCCTCTCAGCAAAACGGGATCATCAAGGAATACCAGGTACAGGGTTTGAGAGGACTCAGGGGCTCGGATTAGGGTGGAGGGAACCTAGGGCTCATTTTGGGTCGGGGGTTGAGGCTGGGGAGAGGAGAGAGGTTTCAGAGTGCTGTCAATGGTGAAGAGCTCAGCTGCTAATCAAAAGGTCGGTAGTTCAAATCCACCAGCTGCTCCTTGGAAACCCCAGGGGGCAGGCCTACTCTGTCCTATAAGGTCGTTATGAGTCCGAAAGACTGGACAGCAATGGGTTTTTTGGGGCGGGGTGGGGGTAAGCCCTCTCTGGTGGCACAAGGGTTAAGCACTCGGTGGAACTCACCCAGCCACTCCCCAGGAGAAAGATCTTCTTTTGTAAAGATTAAACCAAAACCAAACCCGTTGCCGTCAAGTCGATGTCAACTCATAGCGACCCTATAGGACAAAGTAGGACTGCCCCATAGGGTTTCCAGGGAGCGGCCGGTGGACTGTCCGACCTTCTGATTAGCAGCCAAGGCCTAAATCACTGCACCACGAGGGCTCCTTGTAAAGATTAAAGCCAAAACAACACTACGGGGCAGTTCTACCCTGTCGCATGGGGTCACTGTGAGTTCGATTCCACGCACCTAACATCAACAAGACCTGGCTACCATCTGAGCCTCGAGTTTCCCCGTGGGGCCAGACCTCCACGTGTGACTCTCCGCCTCCCTAGATCTGGTGCCTGGGCAATGACAGTCGCCTCCACCTCAACCGGTCTGTGGCAGGCTGGGCACGCTCCGCTGTTCTCCGGGGACTGCTGCCAGGTCTCTTCTACCGGACCCAGGTCGCGGCGGCCACCAGCGCTGGCGTGGGCGTGGCCAGTGCCCCGGTGTCGGTGCAGCTGCGTGAGTCCGGAGGTGGGAGGTGGGCGACCGGGCTGGGGAGCCGAGGGAGGCTCCTGGGGTGGCTGTACCTGTGCGCCAGGGACGGCGCCTTCCCAGCTCCGGGGTTCCCGGGTCCCCCCTCCCCTCACCTCTCTGACCCCCACAGCGTCCCCGCCGGAGTTGGAGCCTGGGCTCGAGGTGGGCTCTGGGCTGGCTGAGCGGCTGGCGAGGGTGCTGCGGAGGCCGGCCTTCCTCGCGGCCAGCGGCGCCGCCTGCGGGGCGTTGCTCCTCGGGCTCTGCGCCGCCCTCTACCGGCGCCAGAAACAGCGTAAGGAGCTCAGCCACTACACGGGTGAGAGCCGGGCCTGGGCAGAGGGCAGGGGGCAGGGGCGGGCGGAGGGCCGGGCCTGGGGAGGGAGTCAGCGGCTGGCAGAAGGCTGAGCCTGGCCATCCCTGCGCCCAAGGCGAGGCGGCGCCACTGGGCAGCGGCAGCGGGAGGCGCCGCACGAGAAACCCGGCCACAGTGGGGAGG